TATTGTGGATCTGCAGGACATAACATTGCTGGATGCAAAGATTTCAAACTAGGCCTAAAACCAAAGAAAAAGGGACAAAAGAAGAGAGTTAGAGCAGAGCCAGAGGTTTCGTCATCTGATGAAGAAGCTCCTGTCATTACACAAGTATAATAATCATTGAATTATATCTATCATTTTAATATGATATAACGTGCAAACTATAGTAAGTAATTATTTGTTTTCTCAATTCAGGAGCAAAACTTGCAAACTAGGGAGTTGGCACAACATGATCCACTTAATAATGAGGATAGTGTCATTTCTTCATTGATCGAAGAGGTATAGTATATTCTTCATTTATAATCATGCTTGTCTACTCATCTTTAGTTGAGATTTTTCTGCTTATTTACTTGCAGCATCAAGCAAGCCAGAACATGGAGCAACCTGAACCAGGACCTCCGCCAGGATCTTCTTTTATTGCAAATCATGTCCAAAGCCAACCCCCTGTGCAACCAACTACCATAACAAAAGAGGGGAATGTTATTAGAAAGAGGGAAGTTCTAGCATTAGCTAAACTAAGGGCAGCAGCTGAGAAGAGAGAAATTGTAGACCAGACAAAATTTGATGCAGCAATGGCAAAACTTAGAGAAGAAGAGTTGAAGATTTTGCAAGCTGAGCAGAAGAGGAAAGAGGAAGCGGTGGCAAAAAAGCTGGAGAAAGAGGAGAAACGGAAAGCTTTGTTGCAACAAAAACAATTGGATGCTGAAGAAAAAAGAAAAGCAGCCGAGGAAAGAAAGCAAAAGGCACAACAGGAAAAAGAAGCAAAAAAGCCCTGGCAGATGCCAAAAAGCAAGCTATACAAGCTAAAAAGAAACAGGCCGAGGAAGAAAAAAATAAGAGAGTTGCAGAGAGAAAAAGAATTGCAGAGCAGAAGAGAAAACATGTTGAAGATGCGCATAGATATGAAGAAGCGCAATTTCTGATAATGCAAGAAGAGGAGCATGAAAGGATACAACGTATGAGAGAATATCATCGGCGAGAGGAGGAAGCAAGGAAGCAAGCCTGGGAGGGGCAGGTTGCGTCGCAGAGGTCTTCAGAGATGCAAGGTTGGGAAGAGAAAAATAAAGAAGCAGAACAAATGAGGATGAGAAGTGAGAATGAAAGGCAAGGAAATGAGAGCATTACGGGCCAGCAAAATAATGCCAAAAGAGGAAATTCAAGTCAGTCCATGGGTGGTTTTAACATGCCAAGAAGGACAAGCATGTTCGATATATTTAGGGACTGAGAGATCATTGCATATGAACTACTGGAGATGTTCTTCGCGAACCTGCTGGACTATGCTATGTAGGTTTTATTTTAGTTCATGCACATGTTAATTACATGGTATGTTCATGAATAGTGAATTTGTTTATCTGCTTTATAAAGTCCCTTTGAACTGCTCTATGTTGTCATATATGAGCTTATTTCTTTGCCCCTGTAATGTTCTTTGTTGTTTCATGTCGTGTTGTGTTCATGTATGGGTTTTCTTATTTCCAGTCAGTTTCCTGTATATATATATTACTGGATCTGTTAAACCCATTTAACATTTTTTTTTGCTGGAGTTGTTCTGAAATTGGCATGGTGTTTATTGTTCCTCTATTTTTGTTGAAGTCGTTCATATGCACAGATCAGTTCAAATGATGGCAAAAAGCACAGCTCAATTCATTCCCTTCCACAGTGCGCACCACAATACATCTCATATTCATGCCAATTTCCATAAAAGCATACACCACAGCCCTGTTCAAATATCATACAAGAAAAGCACAGGAAATTAACATATCACTTAATATGTCATCACATAATAGACCTTTGCATCAGTTCAAAACCAAAAGCTACATCGACCATAACATCTTACATAGCTACAGCTATATCAGTTCACATACCTACAGCTATCAGCTGATCCTAATACGTCAGTTACGAACCAAATACGTGCTACAGCCATCAGTGCATCACGGCATCAGTACAACGAATCAACTTGCATCACATAAAACCTAGCTTACACAGCCGCATCAAATTAACTAGAACAGGGGAATTGGTAAGAAACAGGGCACTTCGACAACCAGCGGCCCATCCGTCTCCGGTGCCGTCAACCCTGCCACTGTAAATCTTGAAGTGATGGGTGCGGGTGAGGTCAGCGCCTTCAGCTGGTAGCCACGCATCTGGCAAATGTTCCGCGAGGAGAGGGCTGCGGTTAAGCATTGCAGACCTTCTGCACGAGCATTGTAGTCCGCGTCAGCTCACAGCTCTTGCCGCCAACGACCGACACCACCAGCACCACCCCGCGGTAGTGCTTGCCCAGAGCGTCTACCGCCGGTGTGCGCGCGAGGAGCAGCCGACCAGTCTCCGGCCGGAGATACGGCTCGCCGCAGCGCCACACTCACTGGGAAAACGAGCTGGCAAGTAGCCTTGCGGCTGAACCGACGCCGCGCCCGACGGGCGCCTCACGGGGACCCGCGCTGCCGCCGGCGCGGGGCATCGAGCTCTCGGCCAAGCTCTTGTCGCTCATCGCAAGACAGAAGAGGATAGGGTTAGGGATTTGAGTAGAGGGGAGACAGTTTGGGGATTTTTGGATTTGGACCTCGATTACACAGGGGTCGTCTCGTCGTCTAAGTCCGGCTCGAGCCAGTCGGTTCGGCTGGACCAGCTCTAGGCGCTGACGTGGCAGGGGAAAAGGGCCAGACGTATGCCGCTGCGTACACAGGACCGTCTCTGTTACACGATCGCAAGTCTGAGGACCGTACAGAAGCACTTCGCGAGTACCAGGATGGTTTTGTTACAAGCCAACGAGTACAGGGACGAAGTGTGCAATTTACTCTATGTGGGAGTAAATTGCACACTTCGTCCCCACGTTAACGGCGGGCGAAATGAATGCATCCCCATCTACCAGCTTCGGCCCCTGTTTTCAGCGAAAGGGGATCGAGCCGAGTAAAAATTAGAGCCGGAGGGCGGCGTCGGTGGCAGCTACGTCGGCGACATTCTCGCACACCGATTCCCTGCTCGCGTCGCCGGACGTGGTCTCCGATTAGTGGTTGCGCGGACGTGGCGATGGATTTTCCCGTAGCTCCGATGGACAGGTAAAAAATCAATCCTTGTACATAAATGTTCTTCGTTCCCATTTACGATCCAGCATCAAAACAAGCTTAGAGCTTCGATCCAACGTGCGCAGGTTGCCCATATTCCCGGATGAGGCATCTAGCGCGGCGGCCCTAATTGAATTGATTGGTGGGGCTGGTCGTGCGAAAAGGAATTAGCCAACGGATCTCGCCGGGCGGTGGTCGGAGGATTTGGGCGCAGCTCAGCTGGGCAGTTCGGGGGTGGTGCCATGTGCGGCGAGGAAACAAGTGTGGCTGCCGGCAGCTCTGCCGTGTAAACGCAGATGCCGTTGACCAGGGCGGCGTTGAAACACATTTTGATTGAGATCAGGGCGCTGTGATTTAAGATCGAACAGGAAGTGGCGATGGGGGCTCTGCGCAATCGACTGGCAAGGTGGATCCCCAAGCCTCTGGATGGACTAAGAGGTAATTGGGATTTTGTGTAGAACTGCATTCTGTATCTTGCAACCGTAGTTGGAATGATGCCCTGTTTATTTTAGTTTGTTATGCTGGCCAGTGAATGGTCAGTTTGATAAAATCATTATTTGGGGACTTCTTGCTGACGGCGGAGAGAGCTGCGGCCCTGAGGCCTTCTGTTGGTGGCCGTGCATCGAGCATGACCAAGCTAGCAATGTTGCCAAGAGAAAGAAGATGGCTACATCCATTAGCTGCTCAAGCTCCGGTGTCCTCACGTCAGGCTTGGCTTTGAGTGCTGACAGCAAAGCATTCTACATGGTATGCACCCAGGTCCGCTTCATCTGCTGGGATATATCTAGGTTTGGACCTATTGCAAATTGCTGATCTTCAATATGCTGCATTAATACCGGGAGGGATCCCGACGCCAACCAAATTGCTGATCTATCCGATGAGAACGGGGAAGCTGCAGCCGACTCCAGAGAGGACGATGACCACAACATAGAGCCATAGAGGTTGTGGCAGAGCTTGATCCCGACGCCAACCATCTGCTTGGCGAGGCGGAGCAGCCTGTTCTGTAAGAATATGACGAGTTTGTGATGGTTTGGAAAACTGACGAAGATTCAGAGGGTAAAGAAGAAGTGGCAAGCCACAAGCGTCCTCGCCTGTGCTAGACGCTAAATCGAGTCAATGGACCAGTTGACTAGAACTAGAAATTAAGTGTGTGTATTTTGTGTTTACGCCTCCGTGTATTTTGCTGGAATCTTAGTGTGTGTCCATTGCTGGGAGGAACTGTCTCTAAATTAGTTGTTATTTTTTGAGAAGAGATTAGTTGTTATTATTGTAGAGTAGTAGCCGACGTGAGTGTGGACTAATGTTTAATTATATGAGATTACCCCAAAATGCCTGATGTTGTTTGTACTTGGTCTAGCTGTATCGATGGAGATGGTGGTGGGGGCAGCTAGACTACCCATGGGTGGCTCGGTTTTGGCCCAACGTACCAGCGACGGCGTTAGCGGGCCAGCGCATTTCTGGTACTGTTGCGTGGGCCACGGGTACTGTTTTTATATTAGAAATACGAAACCAAATACCAGGCAAGGCCCAAATAACGAGGCATGTGTGTGGTCCAGAATGCAGGAGCATCTGGACCCGGGAGCCGAATTGCATTTCCGGCGTATCATTCGCCAAAAAGACAAAAAGCTGGTGTGGTCGGCAGCTGAAAGGGGTCCAGTGGCCAGTGGCCAGTGGCTCGTCCGAGCCCATCATTCCCAGCGGAAAGCAAGCTGACCTGTGCAAAAGGTGGACTTTTCGGTCATTCGGTGACCAGAAGCACCGAGCCGTTACACCCGGCCGGACGAGGAGTAAAAGCTCTCCCCCATTCCAAACTTCAGACATGGCCGAACACCAAGCCCCAAAATCCCCAAATTCCACTTCGCCCCAGTCGCCTGTAGTAATAGCAACAAGAAGCTAGCAGAAGAAATGGAGGGCGACGAGATCTTTGCAAGCCTAGACTCGCTCTGGTTCCACTCCAGCGTCCTCCACCGGCGGCCGCGCTTCAAGCAGTGCTCCGAAGAGTTGAAGCCGCCCAGGAAGCAGGATCAACATCCCAAATGCGTCGACGACGAGGTGACGCTGGGGGCGAGAAGAGCGGATCCAGGAAGGAGGGCGCTCCAAGAGCGCATCGAGACATGGCAGGAGGAGCAGTGGCGGCAGCCGACGCTCGTCATTGCGGCACCGCCACAGTGCTCGCCCGTCGGCGATGGTGTCGCCATGAAGGCTCATCTCAGGTCGTGGGCTCATGCTGTTGCCTGCTCGGTCAGATAAAGGCTCTGCATCTGTTCAAAATCTTGCAATTTGGTACGATGTTCCCGTTGTTTGCTTCGCATACTACTACTATATCTGAAATAAAGACATCTCGCCTAGCTTCTAAGTTTCACATGATATCTCCTATGAGCTGCGCATTTCATTGTGCGGGCATTTGATGATAACGAGCTGCGCAAAAGAAAATGCACATTTCCACTTGAATTTTACACACACCGTCGAGGTTGTGGGAGTAGCCAGGGGCCACTGTCTATTGTACACATGTTTTACATCTGGAATCTGTATCCTATGGGTGATTTACAGATCGGCATCAGCCAACTCTAGAACATGATTTACAGATACTGCTAACACGATCGAATCGAGGGCGGGAGAGCAAATGCTATGCAGCTCTCCTCAAATAATTAGACTATACATGGAGGGTTAACTAACGCTTCATAAAACCACACATTTTATGTGTAACGACCATGTTCTCTTCTCACTCCTGGTTGGACGCTACCTCTGGAAGTTTGAATGTAGGAGGCTTGTCTGCACCTTTCCTCGAGTATTCTCGCCATCTCCTTGCGGCCGCGGCCGCTCGCTTCATTCTCTCCTTTGTGTCCTCTTCTGTTTCACATGTAACCAGGAGTATTAGAACGCAGATAGGCAAATGATGGGATCCCAAATGATCTGACGAACTGACAAATGCCAAAATATGCTAGTTTTACCGTTCTTTTGGTATCTTGTTGGTGACCCCCATATATCACTCCATGAACTGCCCTTGTTAGAATCATCTTGGCTCATCCGCATCCTGACCTTATTCTGCAAGACATTACGCAGAGGCTCACGACAAGACACATGCAGTTGATATGTCAAAAACCAGAAGTTTATGATCCTAACTTTCCTAAACTGGAGTACATATAAAGAAAGCCATGTATCGAAGAGAGAATTATACCAAGACTTTTGCTTGTCTTTTCTCCCAGCGCGTACTTGCCTGACAGCAGGAAAGATAACAGAACATGTTAAGACCTACATTAATTTCATCGCTAAAAAAAGACCTACTACATAAACTGTGGTTTAAACTGCATAGAGTACTGTAATAACAACTTAAGAAGGTGGACGTATTTAGGATGAACATTAATTTTTATAGAAATATGTACATTATTTTTTATGATGAACTGCATAGAGCCCATCCACCATCATACGAGAAAGTTAGGGGATATAAATGTAATTTACATGAGTAAAGACATTACCATCCGGAACACATCAAATGAACTCCCCATCCCAGAAAGCATCAATGCAACCTGCTCAAATGGTAAACAAATCATATGATATTACAAGGTAGGGTAATCTGAATCTAGTATGATAGAAAACAGTAGAGTGATTGCATATTAACTAACTGCAGAAATTCCTTACATTCACTCTCTCGACTCTGCGCATTTCATCCTCGAGGAGTGTAACTTGTGCTGCTGAAGTCCAGTGGATGCAGTCAACCGGACTGGATACACAGAGTTTAGAGGTTTATGAGCATTACTATTAGTAGTCACAAACTAAACTCCCCAATGGAAAACCCACTCATACTGTTTGGCACAAATGGCAGCATACACATTCAGTAGGTTTGTTACGGTAGTAGACAGATACAAATCAAATAATGCAGACATGGTGCTCACCAACTGTCAATGGCTTCTTGAATTAGCTCTTCATTGCCTGATTGATTGTAAACTCTTGCACGCCCATAATCCTCCTCAATCTCGAAAACCTTGGAACACACATTAGCACAGTTTTTACATCCTGCACACAGATGGGAGCAGAACTTGAATAAGAACCCAGTTTAGATAATCTAACAGCAACTCCTGACCAGGTTATAGCCATCAGTAGTAGTAGTACCTATGCAGCTAAACTCATCGACAAACACATGATCCCTGGGTGCATCATCCAAGAAGGGGTTGGTTGCTGTTGCAGTAAAGCCATTGATCTCGTCATACACGGCTCGCTGGATGGGGTCGGTTAGTACCTGTTCATCCCTTGCTCGTGTTAACTTCACAGATTAGATTGCAACGCAAATTGCTCATTTGCATCCGATTTTCATTTCTCAGGATTTTACCGTGTAAACCTCGTTGATGAACATGCAGAAGTTGGTCACATCGGGGTCGTTCCCGCTAAGATCTGGATGGCAAGCCTTCATGCAATTGTAGTACGCTTTCTTGATCTGCTGCGGTGTTGCGTCCGGCATCTGAAAACATGGAGAAACTGTTATTAGCTCGGTAAAAACAGGGGAAAGAGTATTGTTTTCCCACAAGAGTGCGAACGAGTAGCAGAAGCTGAAGAACTTACGACGCCAAGAACGGCGTAGTAATCTTCGGCGGCGCTCCCCTCCGGGCTGCGGGGCTCCGTCGCCACCGCGGACACCCTGAAGCCCCTCCTCCCCCACGTCCTCCGTCTCCGGTGGCGGTCTTTCCTTCCGGCGCCGGCCAGCCCCGCCACTGCGCATCGCCGGACACTGCCGGAACAGCGCACGGCCGTGGAGGAGGAATGGGACCTGGCCACCAATTCTGCGAGCAGCGGCGGTGACAGGAGAGGAGCCATCGGGTAGAGGATGTTGGATCGCGTTTCGGTGCGAGGGAGGCGGGGAGGAGCGAGGAGAAGGCCGGCTGGATCCGGTGGCCGTGGGGCTTTGCTTGCTCTGTTTTGCTGCGTTTTCCTGGCACCCTGCGTTATTACGGTTTTTCTCCGCCACACTTCTCCCGCGATTTTTCTCCACCGTTCTTCTTCGCCTAACAGACCTTGCAAATGATTGTATTTGCGTAGATACCCTCACCTACTTCTCCATTTCTCAATGTCCGTGGTGCAGCAGTAAACTCCCACTCTCTTTTTTTGGGTAAATAAATATTCTTGCGGTGAGCCTGGTTGATTTAAAATAAAACTGATACTCAAATGCAAGCCATCATCAAATTTTCTCTCTCGATTTCTTCATTATTATGGCTGCTTGTACTCCCTCCGTCCGGAAAAACTTGTCATCAAACTAGATAAATGGGGATGTATCTAGATGTATTTTAGTTTTAGATACATCTCTTTTTATTCATTTTGATGACAAGTATTTCCGGACGGAGGGAATAGCTTACAATGTTTTATTTTTGCAGGTGAGTTTACAAGGCTTCTCTGACAGCAAAGTCGGCGCCATAACTTTTCAAGACTTCAAGTTACGTCATGTAAATAAGTCTTTTTCAGCGGATAATGTTGCACATACATAAGCTAGTAGAGTGGGATTCCCCATTGCTCCAAGCCACGGAGATCGAGGGAGTCTGTACAACTGTTATTCTTCTGACGACGCTCGAGTTTGAAGGTCATCTAGCATATCAAATTGTGGAAGCATCCAAACTTCACGAGTGAATAATCAAACTTGGGTCGACAATATTCACACCAAACGGACACGCAAGGAATAATTGATGTACGTTCTATGATCTTTATAGACTTAGTCCGATGGCTAGATATGATGATCTTGTATAATTGTCCACTAATTATGTAATACTCCCTCTGTAAACTAATATAAAAATTATTTAAATTACTATTTTAGTGATCTAAATGCTCTTGTATTAGCTTACGAAGGGAGTAACTTTGTAATATGATGGATTCATGGTGTCTTTTTTTCATCTCCTTGAGAAGGTTGGATTGTGAAGGGGCTATATATTCAATTATTCATGCTTCAGACTTCAGCAAAAAAGGTGTGGGCCCTAGGCTCCTGGTTGAGAACCTAGAACGAACTGGTGGTGGTGGTACAGGGGTATCAGCCGTGATAGGGATAGGATTTGTCAAAATAAAAAAATTGATGTGGAGATTGAAAACATTGTTTATGTCTGTCTAGGCTGACTTGGCAACTTCACTGCCTCCACTTTTGAGTTCGGGAGGCATAGGGGTGGGACCCCATAGCTCCATCGCGAGGAATTGTCCATAAATCGAACACCGAGCGAACCAACCTGTGGTTGGATGGTTAGAGGTACTGTGATATCCCGGCCCATCAGGGTTTAAATTTTGGTGCTCGCATTTATTTTTGGGTTTATTTCAGGATTTTCGGCGATGTGCATTCAGTGGGAGGAGATGTTCCCGTCGACGACGAAGGTGTCTACGGTGACTTCGTAAATTTCAAGATGATATGCCGGCTCAGTCTTTCGGAGGTGCTCATAGGGGTAGGGTGTGCGTGTGTGCGTTCATAGGGGTGAGTGTATGCGCGTGTATATGAGCGCTTGCGTTTGTACTGTGTTAAAAAAATCGAACAGCCAGGAAAATGTAATCAAACTAACAAACGTTTTGGAATAATTTTTTTTTAAGAATCATCCATCTCATTTGTCATAGTGCCTTCAAGACACACAAGTCCATTTTAGAGACATACGCTCTGCATGCGATTAGAATTAATAAAACCATAACAATTTAACTTCGGTCAAAACCATAAAACACATGATCAAATTGTTGAACTAATGTAGGGATGTAGCCTCACTACCAAATAACCAGCATTTTCTTTCTCAATCAATATTTCCTTCCGGGAGGCACCGGTAGATCCGATTATTGGTGAATAGCAGAAATTTTAGTATTTTACCATTCAAAATAATATTTTGAAAAATAAATTCATATAATTACGGCCTAAAGTTATAATCATAATACCCTAAGAGCATCTTCAATAGAAAATGCAAATTTGAAGATGTAAAAATTTACATCTTCAAAAAGTGTTTTTCGCATCTTAAAAAAAGTGTCAACTTCAATAGACGGTGTAAAATGGAGATGTGAAGAGCATCTACAATAGAAGATGCAAACTAGAGATGTAAAACCGGCCGTCGGCCGCGCGACTGCTGTTCAGCTGCTGTATGGCCGCATTTGCACATTGATTTTCCATATTTCTACAAACAAAAGTGCATCATCAACCATAATTTTAAATCCTAGAAGCAAAACTCAATTATCTCAAACAAAGTTCTTGGTTCAACAAATGAAAATGCACATATATATCACTCAATTTGCGCCCTCTCTGTTGTCACTAG